CACACACATATATACTAACAACTATACTACACGCACATATATATATATATATATATATATATATATATATACATGCATATATATATATATATGCATACATATATATATATACACACACACACATATATATATATAAAATAAATTTATATACACACACATTTATATAATACACCACGTAACATTATAATATATATGTATATACAGATATATAGGTATACAGATATAAATATCTACATGTGCACACAAAGCAGAATTCGGTACTTACCACACACTCGTCGCCACAATAGTTTCTCTGCATACAAGAGCAAGCCTGTATGGCTGGCTTCTGTTTACAGAAATCACAGAACTGCGGCCGTGCCTCGTGTCGTTCTACAGCTGCTCGGTATCCCGCAGAACTTTCCGCCTCGGGCACAGCAGAACACACCCAGCGATGCTCTTTAAAGTCTAAATCCTGATACAATCAATCGCAGCCGAGAGCAGTGAGAAGAGGTATCCATACGCACTCACATGCAAGTACATAATAGCATACACAAAATAGCTATTGAGAGAAAAATAACTAGTTCTTAAACAAAGTAGTTCCAAACCAATCGTGCGCGTATCAATCTCCAAACACAGGTTGATGATAAATACACTTATGATATGCTATACATATGTACTTGTACTACGTCCACATAATGCTTCACATTTAGATGCACATGAAGGTACATAAATATACACACATACACATACAATATACTTGATACAACCCCTGCATAAACACACATGCACATACAACATGCTATCGTAAAAGTATTCACTCACATATTGCAAGTTTAACATGCCGGATACACCACAGCTAGAGGCGAGGTTGTGGACAATACCTTGCAATTCTCGCCGCAAAACACTCTTTGACCACAGGCGCATTGCAGTATTGCTACTTTCACCCGACAGTGATCACACTTTTGTTCGGCCAGTCGCGCCTCAGATGCTTTTGTTTGGGTTGCCGCTACGGCTTTCTTCTGCTCGTCATCTACAGTCGAACAACTCTTCCAATGATTCTTCCAGTCCAATGCCTACAAAACACGATTGAGAATAGAAGGTTTAGTACAGGTCTCACAAAAATAGACACAAATATATATGTCAAACGTACGTATATAAATACGTATATAGATACACATACACACACACACTCATATATATATATATATATATATATAATAAATACGTATAGTATTTATAGAACACACA